TTTTGGAAAACAATTTCTTGCAGAACTGATCAGATGTGTTAGGTCCCCACTAGCAGACACTCTCTCATTAGCCCAGTATGACCACTTGGGGTGCAGGAGCAACTGGAGAAAAGAACTGGGAAGACCATCATTCCACTTCACACCACTTCTGATCCAACTCACACATTATGTATTTGGCCTTGAAATCAGCTGTATTGCCTTTAGCTAAACTAAATGTTAGTTTTAGTTTCTAAAGGCCTTCATGCAAATAAAATGTCAAAGATCTGTTCATTAAATTAACTTTTTACAGTAAAGCAAATTAAATTGAGAAACATATGAGAAAAGATACACTGTGTTGTGTTGTTTTGCAGCCTTAATTGGCCTTGGGCCTTAGTGATATCCTGACACGTGAGCAGAAAGGAACTTAAGTGTGCCTTTTCCGGCTCCTGCACTGTCTCTACATTCCTCACGGTGTGGGAAGGGCATCTCCATAGCCTACACCTGTAGTTCTCTTAATTTCTTCTGAATCTGATCTTTCCCTCGACTTTTTCTAAGTCTTTTCTAAATCTCTGTATGCCATTCTCTCTGCCACAATATACCTATCTCAGAGGGGTTTTGTACAGATTAAATTAAGATTATGTGGCAGTGGCTAACATAACCCAACCTTCAAGCATGCATACACTCACCAAATACAAACTCTATGGAGTCCCTAACTGGAAATATAGTACAAACAGGAAAACCACAGTTCTTCCCTCGTGAAATTTGCAATCTAGCAAAAGGACAGAAATGGAACCTCTGTACATGGGATAAGTGCGACAAAGAACACAGAGTGCTTTGCGTAAATAAGAGTCACCTAAACAGACCTGGACTGTCAGGGGAGGCTTTTATGAAGTTAGGAGATCTGAACAATGATTGGAACCAGAGGACTGCCTGCTTGTCCCATTAATTACTTTATGTAACTGATAACTAAAGCCTCATACTTGAGTAACTGGCATTAATATGCCATTTTATTATAGCTGAGCAACAAAGAGAAATAAGTTATTTGTTAAACTTGTGCAGATTTTTACTATGGTTTCATTTTCCAGAAAAATCCTTAATATTTGAAGAATATTTTCACTGTTTTCTCTAACTCTGTCCTCTATTATGAGGAAAAAACTGGAGCTCTGTTCTATTTCCTACCCTGAACCCTACTCTTATACATACGTCAATCTTCATAAACACCTCCACAACGACCCAGAACCACTGCACTGAAGTTATCCATACATATATCTCTCTTCCCTATCCATCTAAACCACAGTTTTAGACCAAATGTTTATAAGACTAAACAGGTAAACACATGGGTGATTATACTATACTTCTACAAAGACACACTCTCTCTCCTCTTCATTTTTTAAAATATATTTTTATTGTTGATAGTACTAGAGATATCTTCCATTCCCCCGCCCCCTTCCTCTCCTCTTCTTAAATCATGTGATTCCCCCTTCATTTACCTTTCTTCTTTCTACTTTTCATAGAATATAAATGGAGGCAGTGCCCTCGACACTCCCGTATCTGTCTCTTGCTTCAACAGTGTTTGGACGGAACACACCCAGGAAGGCCCCAGTTTCCAGCCTCCGGCCACTCTCCTGTCTTATCCAGTCACCACCTTCAGAACCACCTCCGGGACCAGCCAACACACCGGTTGTTGTTGTTTTTCTACCTTAACTCCTTATTGCTGGACAACCATGAGCTCCCAAATTCGTCAGAATCATTCCACCCACCGCGGTGGAGGCTGCGGTCAACCGCCTGGCCGGCCTGCCTCTGGGGCTCCCACACCTACCTCTCGGCTTCTATTTCGACCTGGAGGATGGAAGTGGCTCTGGAGGGCGTGGGCCACTTTTCCCGCAAGTTGGCAGAGAAGAAGCGCCAGGGCGCTGAGCGTCTTAAAGTGCAAACCCAGCGCGGTGGCTGCATTCTCTTCCAGGACGTGCTGAAGCCTCCCAAGATGAGGGGGCAAAACTCAGGACGCCATGGAGGCCGCCCAGGCCTTGGAGAGGAACCGGACCCAGGCCCTCTTGGAGCTGCAGGCCCTGGGTTCTACCCGCGCAGACCCTCAGCTCCGGGACTTCCTGCAGAACCACTTCCGGGTGAGCAGGTGAAACGCATCAAGAAGATGGGCGACACCTGACTCCCCTTGCAGGCTGCCGGCCCCCAGTCTGGGCTGGGCACGTATCTCTTCCAAAGGCTCCCTCCCCCTCAAGCACGACTAGGAGCCTGTGGAGCCCAGAGGCTTTGAGGGACCCCTCTGCATCCCCCTGGTGTCTGGCTTTTACCGGAGCCTCTCCACGAAGAAACTACTAGCCGTTCTTTTAACCACCCTGAAGCCCTCTCCCATGCATTGGACCAAATGAAACAAAGCATTTTGCAGAAAAACAAATACTTTACTTCCTCTTAACCTTACTTGAAAAAATAAAAAGCTCACCCAAGCCAGTATGACTCAGTGGATAGAGCATCGGCCCACGGAATGAAGAGTCCTGGGTTTGATTCCAGTCAAGGACACATACCTCAGTTGCAGGCTCCATCCCGGCCCTGGTCAGGCCACATGCAGGAGACAACCAATTGATGTGTCTCTCTCATATGAATGCTTCTGTGTGTCCCTCTCCCTCCCTTTCACTCTTTCTAAAATCAATGGAAAAATATCCTCAGGTGAGGATTAACAAAAAATAAAATACTTAAAAAAGAAAAAGTCAAATCTCAATAACAGATGCAATGACCACAACCTCAGTGTCAGGCATTAGCAGGAAACAGTGAAGGCATGATGCATTAGGGGGGTGAGCAAGTGTTACTTTGCTCCAACCTATGGAAAGATTGCTGGGTCTCCACTTTCTAAAGTGAGCCAGAAACGTAGGTTTTTTTGTACAAAATTCTCTAATTGTTCATTTTGACAACCCACTAAAAAAGCTTTAAAGACATTATGGAAGTCAAACAAAACAAATCTATGCACATGATTCATTCAGTTCAGAATGATGACCAATTTTCAACCTCTGGGCTAACTCAAAGACATAGGAAACTCCTTTAGTTCACTTTTACACTGTAAACCCAGAAAGGAACCCAGCACTTAGTCAGACACTCAACAAATCTTTTGGCAAACACCTGATGCATTTCACAGCCAAACCAAGAACTGTATTTTTCTTTGTATGCACATCAGTCTCTTGACACCTCCACTTACCTGCTTAAAAGGTTAACAAAACTCCACAATTATACCTCTTCTATTTTTAAATCTCCCATAAATACAAAAATAAGTACCTTATAAAACCCCCAAGGACTCATCTATTCATTTCTTTTCACTCTTCTGAACATGTCTGTAATTATCTCCCCTCTCCCTCTTATGCCTCTCCATTTTAATTGGTTTACTCTTTCCAATAAAAAAAAGTTCCTTTGGACTACAGCACTTGTTTTGTGTTCATCTGTTCTTTCCCCCCATAACTCCTGACATCTGAAAAACATAATCAGACTACACCAACTATGAAGACATTTCAAATTACTAACATTTTATATCTGAGTAACAAACCAAAATGTGTAGAAAAGAAAGATCATATTGTTAACCAAATCAAATTTCCCCAAATTAAAATTACCAAGAGAAGTTTGAAGTATGGTACATGTCAACTGACACTGTCCAATATTTTAATATTTGAGGGAACAACACCAAAGGTAAAACTCAAAGTTTGATAAAAGTCCAATTTAAGTCTATCCCTCCTAGAGGCCAAAAGTTATACTACAACAATAATCTTTTCATGTATTTCAAAAGCTTAGACGTTTAGTTTATACTAAAAATCCTACTTAAGCTTAATACTCTAGTGAAAAAGCACAGTTTAATGAGGTTTACATTTATATTCATTATTTTATTAAATTAAAACAAATACTATTTGATGGATAAAAAGGAGAGAAATTCAAGTATAAGCTTTAAGATGTTACAGTTTGTTGTCGACATTGATAATGTTCTTAATACGTGCTTGTCATAAAGGAAACAGAATTGTATTATTTAAAAATTTTCAGGAACCACTTTCCAAGCAATGGAGCATATACACACACGCGTACACACACAAACATTATATATGTGTGTATGTATGTAATGTGTACATCCTATATAATAAAGCCTAATACGCTAAGTGTCCAGTCAACCAATCAAAGTGTAATATGCTAATGATATGCTAAGGCCGCTCAAATGCTCCCTATGATGTGCACTGACGAGTCGGCCAGTCGCTATGACATGCACTGACCACCAGGGAGCAGATGCTCTGATCAGTAGGTGAGCTTGCTCTGGGGTCCGGCCAATCAGGACTGAGTGAGATGGGCTGGACATGCCCTGGAGCCCTCCTGCAGACCTTCCCTGCTGATCAACCTCCCACATACCTCCCTGGCTTCGATCGTGCACTGGTGGGGTCCCTTAGCCTGGCCTGCACCCTCTCCCAATCCGGGACCACTCGGGGGATGTCGCAGAGCCAGTTTTGGCCCGATCCCGCTCAGTGCAGGAGCTGCTCCCTGGTGGTCAATGCACAGCCACAGGAGGAGCGCCACTCAGCCAGAAGCCGGGCTCATGGCTGGGGAGTGCAGCAGCGACTCTGCGACAGTGCTCAGGATGTCCGACTGCCAGCTTAGGCCCCCTCTCCAGGAGCGGGCCTAAGCTGGCAGTAAGACATCCCCCGAGGGCTCCTGGACTGCAAGAGGGCGCAGGCCGAGCTGATGGGACCCCTCCCGCCCTGAGTGCACGAATTCATGCACCGGGCCTTTAGTATATATATAACAGATACAAAAAAAAATGGCTAGAATATAACATAATTTTTTAATATACAGTAAATGAAAAAGCAAAACTGTCATTTTACCTTCCCAATATCCTTCAGAGACTTCAACTTTAACAAAAATATAAAGGAAATCAACTACTTTTCATAAAAACACACACAAAGAAAAATGAAATGTATGAACCAGTACTGAAGACAGGCTAAATAATGAAACACATTCCAAATCCCATTTTCATAGCATACCTGTGGCCATCGGTTGGCGACTGCACCAAAGAATAACTGTCTCCAGAAGAAAGCTTCCATGATTCATTTAATTTGTGTTCGCTCGTCCCCAGCTCACCCATTACCCAGTCCGGTAATCCTTCTGGGCTTGAACTTTTGGCTTGTGCTGGATTTGGTTCATCAAAATAGATGGACTGATTTTTAAAAATTAGAAAAATTATTCTTTCAAAATGTACTATAATGAAATAATTAGTTAAGATTTCAAGTTTGATAACCATTCAAATATTCAAATTCAACTACCAAAAATATATAAAAATGCATCATTCAATGCACATTAATTATGAAATATTAAAATACATAAAATGGGATAACACATTTTAGTTGTGCTCTGCTGTATAAGAAACCTGATGAATGATAACAATACATACCAGATAAATCTGATAATTATTGTATTACAAAAGGAATATTAGCTTTATGTAAACATAAATGAAACGTTCTTTTTAAATCACGTGCTCTCTTATTTTTTTCTGTGATCATTAACTACTCTGCAACCCACCAAAAAAATCAGTGGGCTCAGAAACCACAATAAATAAAAATCAGGAATCCCTTCATCAGATGAGAACAACAGAGCTGAAGACCTGGGATGTGGTTCTGGCAGTGCTATAAATGAGCTGGAAAACCCAAGGCAGTCTTAGGACTTCTCATCATTCTTTGTAAAACAAGGCACTTTCCTATGATTTTATGAAATTGAGTGTGAATGGGAAACCATAATATACGTACTCAGATCTTAACATCTGAATTTGTTCCAGAAAATGTTCTACTTTTAGTCATTAAGAAGAATGACATCAGCCCATTTATTTCTCTTTAAGTGAGCCAGGCTTCATGGCACATTTGTGAAGAAACTTCTGCATTAACTGGATACTTCTGCAACAATTCTCCCAATCCTCCACAACAGTCCTCTAGGGGGGCTGCTCTCTGGGAAGGGGTGAAACATGACCCTCTATCCTCAATCAGACATGCATAGCAATTTCTTTTTAAATGAGATAGTCACTTCAAAGGTTAATCAAATATTAAGTCAAATAACTATGTCCCAAAGACTAATGATTTTAAACAAAATGTATGTCTCTCATGTGATTGGGAATAGCATTAACACTTTTGGCATTCTTCCGTGGATAGCATATTATGGTCTAATTGTGCAACATGCCTCTTGAGTAAATTTTTGGTGTAAATTAACTGTTAAAATAAAATTTTAAAATATCATTTTAAAAAATCTTGCCGAAACCGGTTTGGCTCAGTGGATAGAGCGTCGGCCTGCGGACTCAAAGGTCCCAGGTTCGATTCCGGTCAAGGGCATGTACCTTGGCTGCGGGCACATCCCCAGTGGGAGATGTGCAGGAGGCGGCTGATCGATGATTCTCTCTCATCGATGTTTCTAACTCTCTATCTCTCTCCCTTCCTCTCTGTAAAAAATCAATAAAATATATTTAAAAAAAAAAAAAATCTTAAAATATCCTAACAGCAACTACCAATCCCTAGAACTCCAGCCAGATTTCTCAAGTATTCAAACACCATACAAACCAAGACAGTGACAATTCATCAACCAAGTATAATTGTAACTGCCTTTTCACAAACCTGATTCTGATAATGAAATTAAATGAAGTGCAGGAAATCACTTCTAAACTCCAACTTACTGTTGTCATTTTATTAGAGTAGAAAGGAACTTTAGAAGTCACTCAATCTGACCTCTCATATATTTTTAAATATGAAAGAGTTTAATAACTAAAATTTTCTGACATACATAAAATATTATTATAAACAGTGGAAAAGTAAGGCTCAAGTTTAAAATTGCACTTTAAAATTTTTAGAAATATTGTATAATATTATGGATTGACTAAATCAGTAAGTATAGGCTGCTTATTGGCCAATATCTGATTTCTATTCAAGGTAGAAAAACTTGAATCAGAAAGAAAAAAAAAAAGCACATTCGTTTTAACTAACATATTATCTAGCACTTGTTACTTACTAATATGACCATTCCCAAATGATATGATAAATTGGCAGAGGTTTTTAAAAATATTTTTTTATTGATTTCAGAGGAAGCGAGAGGGAGAAAAAGATAGAAACATCAATGATGAGAGAGAATCACTGCTCGGCTGCTTCCTACTCATCCCACATTGGGGACCAAGCCCACAACCCAGTCATGTGCCCTGACCAGAAATTGAACCTCAACCTCCCGGTTCAACCACTGAGCCACCCAGGCTGGTCTAAATTGGCAATTTTTAAGAAACTAAACTGATTTACCTTTTGGTCAATGACACCTACCATGTATGAAGGTAAAGTTTTTAGTGTCCCGGGTTCAGGTCGGTGTATAAAAGGGCCTTCAATCACTCCTCGCTTAAGCATATGCAATAACAGTTTTGCATACAGGTTCCGATTCTTCCTGCCCATTATTCCTGCACCTGTTCCTGAAGGCTCACACAGCTTTCTAATCCAAAGTGCACACCTCTGCCGTTCTAGAAATACATAGGCAATATTAGAGACTTGATTTGTCAGTAAACAAACACTAAATGAAAGACCTGTCTAAATCTGCTCCTGCCTAGAGCAGGGGTCGGCAAATTCACTGTAAAGGGACACACAGTAAGCAGTGAGGCTCTGCAGGCCTGTGACCCCCGGCACAGCTGCTCCCCTCTGCCACTGGAGCATGAAATCGGTCACACACCACATGTAACCAAACAGGAATGGCTGTTTTCTAATAAAACTTTACCAAAAGGCAGCAGGCTGGATCTGCTCCAGAGGCTACAATTTTGACAACTCTTGGTCTAGAGTTTACCAGTTCATTAGTAATCAGGCAAGACATAAGCAAAAAAATATTTTCTCAAAAATAAAATCTCTGGATTACTGTCAAATAAAGCAGTGAGATAAAAAGTTTGCTGTAAAATAATTGTAGTTGTTCTGAAAATTCTATAATTCTCATTATGCAAACCAAGAGAGAGATAAAATGCAATCTTATTTATTTAAGCATTTTAAACTTAATCTAAAATTAAATCTCAAATGTTTTATTTATTAAAGCTGATAATTTTCAGGGACTTATAGTTGATTTATTTAGGGTTTTCTTTTAACCTCTCTAGAAATAAATGAAGGGTATTTACATGTAATTTTGTAAAATAATTATCCTTTTAGAAACTGCCTTAAAAATATAGCACAGTTTAATCCACATATAATGACCTATTGACTATCTTATCTTACATGACACAGAATCGCTTTTAGGTCTCATGAAAACTACTTTGACACTAATCTTTTATCAGGCTAACTCAATTTGAGGATTATATACCTAACACAAATCATAAGCCTGCTTTAATCTCTTAGTTTCTAAAGGTCATATTCATTTATTGTTTTACCTACAAAATTTGCTGGGGCCGGATTTACTACTTTGCTCATACCAGATTTATCACTACAGGTATGAAAGCTAGCCTCTAAAAAACTTTTGTATTTTTAGCTTTGAAATTATATAATCACAAAGCAAACTTCATGAAATATTGGGCATACTTTATGCCAAAAAAATGCAAAAGTGAAACTGATAAACTTAAGTAATCACTTTTTCAAAGTATATATTTTCTTTCTTTTCTTTTTTTTTTTTTAAATATATTTTATTGATTTTTTACGGAGAGGAAGGGAGAGAGACAGAGAGTTAGAAACATCGATGAGAGAGAAACATCGATCAGCTGCCTCCTGCACATCCCCCACTGGGGAAGTGCCCGCAACCCAGGCACATGCCCCTGACCGGAATCGAACCTGGGACCCTTCAGTCCGCAGGCCGACGCTCTATCCGCTGAGCCAAACCGGCTTTGGCAAAGTATATATTTTCTATATGCCCAGCAGTAAACTGAAATCTATCTAATTTTGGAATGGCTAGAATTCAGTACAACTTGATTAATACAAAAGAATTCATTCCTCTACTTAAAATGTTGGGAAAAACCATTTCCCAAAGTAGATTTTAGCTACAAGATGTAAGTTGTTTAGATTCTTGATTGGTATGTGATTTCCAAGTGTTAAGAATTAACTAAATAAGAGAAGGCAAGGGATGTACCAATATAGACAATACGTCATGAACCAAAGATTACAATCCAATCAATTCTTGTACCTAAAATCCATTTTTAAAAGAAGATAAATATGACAATAGTTTGATTTGAAATACATTTATAATGGGAGATTTTAATTAAAAATTTTTCCTAATCAGCAGATCTAAGACAAAAAGGTACTGAATATCAAAAGATGATTAACAGTATAGAAACATCATTAAATACTAACTCAACAAATCATGAATGAGCTGTGAGATATGAAATAACCATTGTGAAGAACAGCAGAGGAAGAAAGAAGAGGTTTTGGTCTGCAGGGCAAGCGGATAGAGGAAGAAGCTTGGAGGGAAGCCCATGCCAAGACATCGTGGACCAGGAAAAGTCGCAGGCCTGGCCCTGGCCAGGCGGCTCAGTTGGTTGGAGTATCAAAAGATTGTGGGTTCAATCCCCAGTCAGGGCGCATATGGGGAGCAAGTGATCAATCTCTCTCTCTCTCTCTCTCTCTCTCTCTCTCTCTCTCTCTCTCATCTCCATCTCCATCTCCATCTCCATCTCCATCTCCCTTCCTCTCTCCCTAAAAATAAATCAATAAAAAACATATCCTCGGGTGAGGATTTTTTTAAAAAGTGGCAGGGCCTAGAACAATGGATGACCACAAAATGCATAACTCACACACTACCCTCCCTTCTCCCAGTGCAGTTCCTTGCAATACATATCTAATACTGACTTGGTTCCTCATTTTTGAATATAGAGTTCCCTCAGACACCTTAGGGAAATAGGAAATTTGGACAGAGTAAAAACCAGTTTCTTGACCCCATTCCAAATGATCCACTCAAAAGCTGCCAATCAGATTTACTTTTACAGCCAATCTTATGCCCAGTATAACTCAGAGAATCTTCCTGGCCCCCCAAACTCTTTCCAATTGCTCTGCATACCTTGTGTTACTTGAAAATTCTTTAACTTGAAACAAAGACTCTCATTCTATAATTAAAGATAAGAAGCCGTAAACTGGAGACAAGATAACAACAAAACTCATTCACACTTCATTTTATTCCGTCAACCCAAAGCATACAAGACCAATAAATTCTTTGCCACTTTTATAAACAAAAGGGTCAAAGAGCAGGTGGATTGTAGGCTCCTGAAAGAGGAAACATTCCCATGGTGGGAGAAAAAAAAGATGCAGGAAGAAATAGTTTTAGCAAACTTTAGAGATCCCCGGGCTTTAAGCTCATGACATATAAGAAGGGGTATCACAACCTTTCCATGGTTTAGTAGGACATTATCACTAAATTTCTATTTACCCTTGAACAGTTCAAAGTAAACAATCCCACATCAGCTTAAGATAAAAATTGCTATTAAAAGAATTCAGTTTTATTTCTATTTTGATGGATCATTGGTTTCATGAAATAATATAAGAAACAATTAACCTTAAGAATCTAATTTTTAAACATAATCTTACCTGGCCTATGGGGTAATTTTAAAACAAAAGGCTTCATATCTACCACAAAGTGATCAAATTCTGCATCCAGCTTCTCCCATTGTTCTTCTTCACTTTCCATTTCCATAATTCAGTCTGTAAAAGATTTAAAATGAAAATATTGAGGGTCTGTATGCTGCAAACTGCAAAACTGATTAAAGAGATCAAAGAAAACTCATTAGCATTATAAATACCAATTCTCCCCAAATTGATCTATAGATTTCATGCAATTCCAAACAAAAGCCCAACAGTATTCTTTGTATATATAACAAGCTGACTCTAAAATTTAATTTTAGAAAGTAAAAAAAGCCTAGAATTCTGAAAAAGAAAAACAAAGTTAGAGGATTCACGTTACCCAATTTTAAGAGGTACAGTAGTCAAGACAACGTAGTATTGGTGAAAGGATAGACACATGGACCCATAGAACAGACTAGAGTCCAGAAATTGACCAGTAAAATATGGACAACTGACTTTCAACAAAAATAAAATTCATGAAGAAATTGTAGTTTTTATAATAAAGTATGCTATAACAACTGGACATCCATCTGCAAAAAAAAAAAAATTATACAAACCTCAATCTATATCTCATAGTATATTAAAAAAAATTGACTCAAAATAAATCACAGACCTAAGTGTAAAATGTCAAATTACAAAACTCTTAGAAGAAAATATAGGAAACAATTTTCATGACCCTGAAAAAGGCAAAGATTTTTTAGATACAACATAAAAAGCACTGCCCATATAAGAAAAAGTGGACAGATTGGACTTCAGCAAAACAAAAAACTTTTGCTCTGCAAAGGGCTCTGTTAAAGTACTGAAATGAAAAGCCACAGACTCAAAGAAAAGATTTGTGAATTACATTTTCTCACAAAGGTCTTACTAGTATAAAGAACTCTCAAAACCATGAAACAAACAACCCAATAAAAATAATCAGCAAAAAGCTAGTCTCTTTACCAAAGAAGATATACAGATGACAAGTAAGCACATGAAAAGATGCTCAACATTTTTAGTTACTAGGGAAATGCAAATTAAAACCATAATGAGATATCACTACATGCCTAGTAGGACAGCTAAAATAACAAATGCAAACAATAGCACGTGCTGGTAAGAACAATGAACAGGAACCCTCATGCACTGCTGGTAGGAATGCAAAATGGTGCAACCACACTGGAAAACAGGTTAGGAGCTGCTTACACAGTTAAACATACATTTACCACGTCTCAGAAATCCCACTCTTTGGTATTTACCCAAGTGAAACAAAATCTATAGTTATACAGAAACCTGAATGTAATGTTTATAGCAGCTTTTTTCTTCTGTAATCAGCAAACACTAGGAACAACCCAAAGGTCCCTCACCTGGGAAATGGATAAACAAATTATGGCAAAAACACAACATGAAACTACTCAGCAACAGAAAAGAATGAGCTACTGATCCATGTGACAACATAAAAAAAAAACTTCGAACATATTATGCTGAGTGAAAGAAGCCATTCCTGAAAGGCTACCTACTATATTAACCCATTTGCATGACATTCTAGAAAAGGCAACATTTTTGAGCATGGAAAACAAATCAGTGGTCCACAGGGCTTAGCATTGGGGGAGACCTGGACAGGAAGAGGCGGCACAGGGCAAGGATTGGTCAGCATACTACCTGTGGAGAAGGCTGCAAGACCCTACTTTATGCATGTGTAAGAACTCATAGAACTGTATCCCCCAAAAAAGTGATTTTAACTATGTACATTTAAATTTTATAACTCTCCTCAAAAAAAACCTAAAATATTGGTCCTTGTATTTCTTCCTAATTAGCAAGAAAACATTGATGATAAAGGGGTGAATCCCCCAAAAAATCAGAAATGTAGATTTTGACAAAGTTCCTTAAGTTAAAAATATATCCACACTCAACATGTTCCTCTATGTAATGAACTGTCTTGGTAGGGAAGTGGACTACCCCTACATTATATAAGGTCTCCAAGTGTCATTGATTCAATTTACAAATTACACATTTAGAATAAAGCTCTGTTCTGCCTCAGGCATTCTTACTCCACAGACGGCCCTCCCACTGCTAAAGCAGCTTCTGATATTGACCATGGTATCTTCATCTTCTTATCAACAGCCTCTTCATAGAAAGTTCTCGCTACCCTGTCTCTGTAAGGAAGCTTTCGCTGGCTGGCCTGGCTTCCCTCCGTCTAGACATGAACCACGGTTTTCAGTCTTCTGCCAAGTACATGTATGTGCTCCCTGGAGTCTTAAACTCTCTCCCGCAACCTTGCCCAGGAAGGAAAACAGTTTCTGAGATGCATACTGCTCTTTAGCCACAACCCGAAAGTCCCCTCTTAGGAGGTTCCTACCATCTGACTACACCTTACTCTCCATTCTCATCACCGTCACCTCCTGACCCTTCTATCTCATCACAGCCTCTTTTTTTTTTTTTTTCCAGCCAGGTTCTGTGTTTTATTGTCTTGTTACATCTGTATTTATACCAGTTGATTTTAATCCTATCAATTTCTATTCCAAAGGTTAGGGCGTTTCTTATCTCCATTCCAGGGAGTAAAGATTATGTAGCTTAAGCGTGATTGTTCTTAGTTAAAGTGATTAACTACCCACCTGGCACTTAGTTAAGGGCTTTTATTCCCTCCCTAACTTCAGGGAAAGATCCCTTACCTGGGGAAACAACCTTTCTTGGAGAGGTGACCTTGGTTAAAACACATAGTGCTAAGAAGGGGAGCAAACATATTAAGAACAGTATGCCATATACGCCAGGTCCCTTGAAACATATGCTGTGCAGATGTTTCTTCCCTGCAGCGACTGTGTCAAGCAGCAAGGATGGACCAGCTTCTGGCAAATTTCTCCTTTATTTTTTAAATGATAGTGCATGTCAATCAGCGGCCACCTCTTGGAATGGGTTGTTTAAGACTCGGAAGAAGACTGACAAGCAATGATAGCAAGCATAGCTATAAACATAGTGGATAGAGTGCACACGGAGCCTTGTTCCTGTAGAAGGTTGCTGGCCTTTTCAGTCAAGGGATTTCAGCTGTCCTCAAGTCAGTGGTTTGGTTGTCCTTATTGATCTGGCTAGCGGGCGGTGTCACTGGCGATGGGCTTCCCGAAGTGTCAGCGCGTTGAACGGCTAGGGGTCCCTGTTCAGGCGCCATCTGTTGGGGTCCAACCCCAGCAGGTCCAGGGGTTCCCAAAAGTGTGGACAGAGGCAGCATTTAGTCAATCATCATTGCCAGGTTCTCTAGCCAGGATCTCCAGCCAGGTTCTGTCTCATCACAGCCTCTTATTCTCTTATACTGTCTCCTTACTCCACTCGACCTTCTCTTTACTAAACTCAGCAAGACTTTGATCCCTTGACACCCTCCTTCATTCCCTAACTGAGGGCTTGTGGGAGAAAGACAGCACTGCCTTGTAGTCAGATGGCTTCCAATCTTACCTCAATCCCCAGGAGTCTTTTACTGTCTCCTACTCCACAAAGCAGCTTTTACCAGACATCTTAAAGTCCCTTAAATAAAGCGCTCACTCTCAATTTCAAAAATCTAACCTCCTGCTTCATGGACAAAGTAACTGCCGAATGTTTACACCACAAAATGCTATTCCCTCCACCTCTCAACTTACTTCTTAGAGAACAGAAGCATGAACTTGTATCCGAAGCATGAACTTATATCAGAAGCATGAACTTGTCTCTCTTATCCTAAAAACACCTATCAACAGCCTCCTCACTGTGCCAACTTTCCAGCCCCACTGTCTGTTCCCATTTCTTAAACCCCCATAAACTAATACATCCACAAATACTGAGAAACACCTCCAACCCTGCCTGTATCTCTATTCTAGCTGCCACGGTCTCCGAGAAAGCCCTTCTGATCACTTACCTACAGCCAACTGTATTTTTTCCTACTTTAGTCCTCACTGGTACTAGACTACGGTTCCTAAGTATAAAACTAACCCTATCACTCCCCACATAAAAACTTCTCTTGGCTGCTTGTGACAACAGGATGCTTTCTACATTCAAAGTAAGGTCTACAAGTACCTTTACATCCTGAGCCCATCTCTGACCCCTCCCTACACATCTACACACACACACACACACACACACACACATTGGCTCACCATTCTTCAAACACTCCAAGCCCTTATATGTGTTCACATCCTTTTCACTGGCTGTTCCCTCTGTCTGGAATCTGATACATGCAGCGCAAGTGTCCCTTCTGAGTAAAGCTTGTCCCACTTATCGTAGACTCACTATTACTCCATTCTCAGTGTGCACTGCTCACATCTGTGAAGCAGTATTTATCAAGCTAGATTTTTTTTAACACATCTGTGTATTACTTGCATGTATTCCACATCCGAGATGCTCCTGGAAGGCAGGGACCACGACTTATATGTCTCAGTAGATACCTAGCACATTGCATGCTGTGTATTAGAAACGGAAGAAGAATTGATTGGTAAATAAATGTTAATGTAAGGGATTAATGTCCCACTTTTACATGACTAGGGTGTTTGTTTTTTAAGATCCCATTCTGGCCCTAGCTGGTTTGGCTCGATGGATAGAGCGTCGGCTTGCGGACTGAAGGGTCCCAGGTTTGATTCCAGTCAAGGGCACATGCCCCAGTTGTGGGCTTGATCCCCAGTGTGGGGCGGGCAGGAGGCAGCCGATCAGTGATTCTCTCTCATCATTGATGTTTCTAACTCTCTCTCCCTCTTCCTTCCTCTCTAAAATCAATAAAAATATATATTTTTTTAAAAGATCCCATTCTGAGTACCAAATAGGTCTTCTAGAATAGAAATATTACGTGTCCTTAATTCTAGTTACCAAAACTGGCCACCCTACACTCTGCATTATAGAAGAAACGCATTTTCACATTCAAGACTTGGTTAAGATAATACTATTTTGATGGGTTAGTTGGCTTGGGGTTGTTTGCTTTGTTTCGAATTCCTATAATATTCCTAACTGTATTTCTCCATAACTACTTCAGTTATGTACTTGATAACAGAAGGCTATGATACCACGGCTGGATGTTAAATCATAAAGCTGAAAACTAACTTTTCAAATGGATGAACAAACAAATGGAAACTCATAAACCCAGAATTTAAGCACAGCTCTGGCCTAGAAGTGTTCTCCCAGGCTTAACCATCCTGCCTTTGCACTCAAACATTTGCCTGAGAGTACCCATAGTTAGGGCGAAAGCCAAAAAATTTGTAATAAGATTCACTCAGTAAGTCCTTTAACACAGGCAAAAGATGGTAGTGTTTAACGTTAGAGGAAACTTAAATTCGAAGTTAAAAGACTCACTTAAAGCCATGAAATTAAGCCCAAAGCTCAGAGTAAAATTCTGAAATCCTTGTCAGATTCATGATATCTGACCACTTGGCCACTTGCCTATACGTCAGCACTATCTCCAACTAATAATGAAATCTTGAAAATTAGAAAGGCAATCATAATTGCTATAATAACATACAATACTGGATATACATTTTTTAAAAACCAGAGTAAAGAATCAATGTAATATTTGGTAAAAGGAAAAAGTCTGCATCTCCTTATCCCTTTTTAAAATACATATATATTTTTTATTAATTTCAGAGAGGAAGGAAGAGGGAGAGAAGAAACATCAATGATGAGAGACTCATTGATCAGCTGCCTCCTGCACGCCCCATACCAGGGAGGAAGCCCACAACCTGGGCATGTGCCCTGACTGGGAATCGAACCGTGACCTTCTGGGTCATAGATTAATGCTCAACCACTGAGCCACACCAGCCTGGCCTCCTTAATCCCTTTTTTATTCCCCAACAAAATAATGAAATGCAAAGAGCAAAAACAAAAAAATTAATTTACAATTTCAAACCTTCAAGGAATTCTTGCTACACAAATTACATCTTATAAATAAATTATATCTACTTAGTTCCAGCTAATCAAACCGTTTTGTTGCTATTTATTAGAATTGCAGATTTAAATTATTAGAATTGAAAAAAAATAAATAAAGCTATATCACTGATTTAGGCTTAAAGTGTGCCTACCAGTCACATAAATTACTTCAAAAGCAAACAAGTAAATTGAGTGACTCCTGCTCCTAGCTATAATCTATATTTGGATCATGTCTTACATTTAACTCACTGGTATTGTCTTTTTTTAAACCCGATTGTATGTGGACAGCTACAAAAGGGGCTAAGACCTTCTCAAGGTGCTTAGTTGCCACAGGTCAGCAAAGCTTGAGCAAGTCACAAACACTGAAAGCCCTTGGCGGGAAAAGTGGCCACAGCTGCTAAACAATGGGTGCGCCTCAGTCTATCCTGCCCCTTGCCAAACACAATAAACATATTCCTGAACGTGGCGTGTCATCAATTTTGTTCAATCAAACCATATTTCAAATACAGGGTGGGCCATTAAAGAAAACCTGAAATGCGAGTTTCGGTGCAGCCAAGTCTTCCAGGTGTGTGTTCGCCCGGCTTACACATCTGGGGGTGCGGACCGTTACCAGAGCCTGGGCTGATTGTGCCAGGAGGATGGTGTGTGCTCTGCAAGCCTATCGCAGTCACCGCCCTCGGAGACAGGCAGGAGCTCGAGACCATTTCACGGAGGAGGAAAACTGAGACTCAGCGGGGTTCGGGGACTGACCGAGGGTCCCATGGCAAGTGCCCGCTGGGCGGGAACCCCGTGCCCGGACTCTGCCGCACCATTAGGAAAAGGCGCCTGTCCTTTCGCGTGCCTTTTCTATGTCATTTGGACTCATCTTTAAATATTCAGGACAAGTAAGAGGCATGGCCGCACAGTGATCAGAATAACTGTTCGTGTTTACTTAAGTTCCTCTCTACAACACTTAAAACCATCAATCAGCGCAGACACACTCCGCAGCTCCGCCACCTGATGCTGGGACAGGGCCCGCTTCCCCAGGGGCTGTGGGCGAACTGTTCCCACAAAGGAACCAGCACACCGGTTCGGCCCGAAATCCCGGGTCGGGCCGCGGGTCCCGCGGTGGGAGGAGAGTGACAAGTGTAGGGTGCCGTGCCCGGGAGGCACTTCCCGGCCACAGAGGGCAGCCGTGGGCCTCCGGGGCCGCTCCCCCCGCGGGTCCCACACGCGGATTTCCTCCCGAGCCGCCAGCCCTCCGGTCCGGCTCCTGGACTCGTCACGTCGACCGCTTGTCAAACTTGACGCAGAACTTTCCCAGCCCGCGCCCGGCCCGGACCTCCCTCAGCAAGTGAGACCCCCGAACGCAGCGCGCGCCCCTCGGGCCTCGAGAACCCGCCCGGGGCCTGCGGGGCGACGCCCCTCCCCGCACCAGCCCGCACGCGCGGGGCGGCCGCCACCCCAGGCAAAATTCCACCCCAGAACCCGGGGACAGGGGCTGGGGAGGGAAAATGGGGAAAACAAGAACCTGGCGCCCCTACATGCAAGCTTCCCGATGGGCCGCCGCCGCTATCGCCGCCGCCAAACGGTTTCAAATCCTTGCGGGCCGCCAGCGTCTCCGCCGCCCTGCAGGCCGGGGGCGGGGATTTCCGCGCTCGCATTCCCCGCCCCCTTTCCCACCCCTTCGGCGGCGGCCGGCGGCGCGCCGTTGCCATGGCGACACTGGGACCTATGACAGCCACCGTCCAACAGTTCGGAGGCAGCGACTTCCGGCGCTCGCGTTCCTTGGCCCCAGCGTTGCCAAGGGGCACAGCGCCGTTGCCATGGCAACGGTCGGGTCCCCGGCGCGCAGGTTCCAGCTCGTGTTCCTGCCTGGAGGTGGCTTCTAGGCAGGTCCCGGGACCTATACCTGGTCCATGCGGTCCCCCAGCACCACAAGAGTAGCTTGGGGACACTCGGAGGGCTGTGGAGGAAGGACATCCAAAGGGCAAAGAAAATGGGATTACTGGAGAACGGTCACTAAAGGGTGTGGCCTTTGTTTGGTCAGAGAGAGGCGTTGAATGAGTCTAAAAACGTGAGAACTTACTGCCTGGTGTCTTCCTCACAACCCAGATGGACATTACCTTTTTGTTGTTGTTGTTATTTTGGGGGGCGGGGGTGGCTTTCAGAACTATCTGAGGTCTGAAAAACATGACCCCAAATTCTGAAAATGCTGAAATAAAATAAAAAAGCTTTTTGATTACCAGTTCTGTGCAGAATAACAAGATCTAGTGGAAAATGTGTTTTTGCCGCTCCCGGAGTCTCCACCTCCCCAGGGCGGTCTCCATGTCCGCATTGCTATGTTGTGGTGGTCTGTGGTCTTCTGTTACATTGCTGGGGAAACTCTGAACTATGTTTTTTAAATATACAGGCAGAAACAACATTTAAATTGTGAACACACCACTGTTTTTCATCTAATTTCACAACGGGATTCCTTCTTTTGTGTCTAGGCAATACACTCAGGGTGGTGCCAAATCAAACTCAAGCACAGCTTGAGGCATCTTTTCAATTTTCCATAAAGAAAAGAGAAGATTCGTTCATTTTTACCCAGTTACTTTCAAACTCCCAAAGAAGAGTCATATTCTTTCCAAGGGGCTTTTTCAAACCCATCCCACTACAAGTAAAAGCTAACAGTTCTTCATTGTTTCAATGACAAATCATGAAGGCTAAGGGAAAGAAAAGATGTGAAATGCTTTTAAGAATGTTTAGTTTTTTAAAAGCATAGTTGAACATGTTTATAGGTAATAAATAATTAGTAATCTAGATCATTTGTACTGAGAATCACACACATGCAATTGCAGGACATTGACCATTCAGTGAAGAGGTTTAAAATATGTAACCACGTTGCCGGGAGAACATGAAATGAATTTGACAAATGATGAAATGAACATGAGCAGAAAAGTTCTGTATTTTTTTAGGCTTGGATCAAGAGGAAAATGCAACGAAGTCAAGTTCATCTGAGAGGAAATAATTGCAGCAGAAAAAAAAATATGACTGAAAGTTAAAAAGTAAAGAAATGTATATTAAGAAAGTAAATTTCTTAAAATATTTTCTCTAATAGGTGAAAGTAAAAAGATGAGAAAATCTCCCTTTTCATTTTCAAGAACTAGCAGATTGTCCCTTTTTCACTCATATGTACTTATATATACATACACACATATAGATGTGCAAACAAAAATATTAAGATATGCATGGAGGGTTTTTATTGTTATGTCCTACATATTTAGCTTGAGCCTGAGCTGCATTCAACCTATATGTCATGTTTAGAGGAGTGGTTGGTGTCCACTTGGAATCTCCTTACATGAGAACCAAGGGCCATCCTATAACTCATCCTAAGAGATGGTAAGCAGATCTGGTTCAATGACAGTATAGAAACATTGAAGGAAAGGTGAGTAATTCTACATAAAGCACAGAGCTGACCATGGTTTGACTTCCAGCTCTCCTCCACTTGTTGTAATAAGTGATGCCTAGTCCTTTGAGGTGAAGAATTTCCTTTGAAATCATAAAAAGCTATAACTTACCTCCCTTACCCCACCATCACCAACTGCCCACATACCCCAAAATGTGTGTCCAAATCAAACGGTTCCCCAAAGGTCTGAACTCCACCCCTGGAGCCTAGGTTCAGAACTCCTCCTCTGTGGGTTTATATCCATTTAAACATTGAGAACAGAAGCCGTAAGTAGCATTTGTATCCATAATTTCTGAAGACAGCAAACTCAGTACAGTCATCATCGACCTTAACCCTGGGCTCCAACAACCTCGGGGCAGCATTAATAAAAAGTAGCAGCAGCTGGAATGACTTCATCAAGCATCAAAGGCAGGAAATGAGAATAAGAGTAACACCCTCACCGCTACAAACACTTGGAGAAACATTAATGATGCACACCATGTAATAATTTCGTAAAATAAAGAGCACACATGAGACCCACTCTGTGGACCTTCAGGTGTATTTGGGGGGAAATTGCTGGAATCAGACTCCATTCAGGGACCTCAAGCCATATAAATACTCTTTTTTTAACTGATGCAATATATGTGGCCTAAAAAAATACAGTTTTGCATAGACGTTGTATGGCCAGATATCTATAGCAGCCAATTAATATGACTTCTATGTCTAGAAGGATAATAATGTGTCAGCTCAATATATATTTTTTGAACTCTCACATCCTCAGAGAAGCCTTCACTGATTCTCAGACCACCCTTACTCTCTTTCAAAACCCCCTGTTCTTTTTCTTCATTGTATTTATCAAACTTTGTAATAAAATATTAACGTCAACCATCCTTTTTTAGATTCCATAGGACAGGAACAATATACGTTGGGTTCACCATTGCAGACCCAGTGCATTGCAGAGTACCCAGCATGTAGAGACAATCCATAAATGTTTATTGAATCAAAGAATAAATGCAGATTGCTCTTTTGTGCTTTTCTCTGCACCTGGAATGGAATACAGCCACCCATCACTTCCTAGTTTACAGCTTCCATTCAAGAGGCCTGGAAGACTAACTTTTCTGAATCCAAATTTCTTTCTAAGAGACTAAATCTGATAGGTCTAACTTAATTATAAAGTCAGTTATGAAAATATATACAGGAAATATATACTGAATGTCATTTTTTTCTTTGATTTTAAAAAGGTATTAAAATTGAAACATTATTGCCATTGAGAACATTATTTCCTATCAGCTACAAATGACTTCAATGAAAGTAAAAGGTTTGTTTCATAAACAAATAATATTTTACTTCCATTTTTAAAAATCAAATGGTAACATAATTGATGGTAATGGAAACATCACCCTAAAAAATAAATTGTTTTTCTTTCCTGTGTGGGGAATTAATTATGCTATACTTCTCATACAGAAAAGGATCTGCTTATTTTCAAAAGGTAAACTTAAAATTAAGTATTAGTCTAGATCAGCCGTGGGCAAACTACGGCCCGCGGGCCGGATCTGGCCCGTTTGAAATGAATAAAACTAAAAAAAAAAAAGACCATACCCTTTTATGTAACGATGTTTACTTTGAATTTATATTAGTTCACACAAACACTCCCTCCATGCTTTTGTTCCGGCCCTCCGGTCCAGTTTAAGAACCCATTGTGGCCCTCGAGTCAAAAAGTTTGCCCACCCCTGGTCTAGAAAATACTGAACAATGTGAATTCAATTATTCCCTATGTAAAACATGGGAAATATGACATTTTCCTAATTATAAAGATAATTCAGAATGAACTAGGCCTGCATTTTGTTATAAGTATTAAATTTGATGATATCTATATATTTAACTCCTGCTCTATAAATTGTATTAACTATAGCAGAGACCTAGAGGTTACCTCCATTTTGGTTAAAACACTATTGTTTGAGTTTTCTGTTTTATTGCCGGAAGCCAGTTCATCCTTGCTGCTTGACACAGTTGCTGTGTGAGGTTGCAACGGCCCCGGTGAGGCTGAGATGGCCCCTGGGAAGCTGAGAAAAATACCACATGAACTCACTCATTTATGGATAATAAAGACCATTATAAACTGATGAACAAAAATGGATACAGAGGCAGAGCAGCATTGAGCAGACTGTCAAACTACAGTGGGAAAGCCAGGGAGGGTTGGCGGGGGCGGGGGGTTGAGATCAACCGAAGGACTTGTATGCATGCATATGAGAATAACCAATGGACATAAGACACTGGAGGGTGGGGGAGGCCGGGGGAATGTCAAGGGGGGGGAAAAAAGGAGACATGTGTAATACTTTTTGTAATACTTTAAGAAATAAAAAAAAAGACATAAGAACAAATGTTACTGACTTTGGGTCACTGTGGTGAATTGTCAGGCAATTATTTCCACTTACTAGCAAAAATAATCCAGCGTTAACTGTAAAGAGAAATGAAATTTTTCTTTCTAGACTAAGATTTTTTAATGGCATTTTTTTTCAGATTATAAAAGTTTTAGCTCGATTACAGGGAAATTAAAAGTTTTAAAGAGGAAAATAAAAATGATGTGTAATCCTATAAATAAAAAATAATGACTGTGAATAATTATATATTTTTTCTCAAATCACATATATTTATATATAATTAAAATTATAGTATATAAAATAATAAAAAGTATATAAATCATTTTAAAGTCTACTTATTCCATCATTAGAATACAACATCATTTGCTTAATTATTCTCCTGTGATTGGATATTAGCAATTTTTGGCTCTTATATATAATGCTGGGACATATATATCTACACTAATAAAAGAGAAACATGGTAATTGGCGTACAACCGCTACCCTTTTCATTGGCTAATCAGCAAGATATGCAAATTAACTGTCATCCAAGATGGCGGCCGGCAGCCAGGCAGCTTGCCTCAGTGACGGAGGAAACCAACGTTCCCCGCCTGCGGCTGCAGGCCTCTGAGCGGGCAGTTTCAAACATTGTAACAGATACTGCGGGACTTCAGCCAGCAGATTCGCAACATTGTAAGCAAAGGCCAGAAACCTACTTTCATCAGGGAGGCCTAAGAGCTGGAGCCAAGCCTCAAGGTAAAGCTGGCCCAGAATAAAAAAGAAAAAAAAAGAAAAAAAGGAGCGGTTGGGAGCTTCAGTCACCCCCAGCCTGAAAACAGCCCTCAGCCCCTCACCCAGACTGGCCA